CTGGATCAGCCAGGGACTTTGCGATGTCCCTGGGATCAGCAGAACGCTCCCCTTACTATCACCGTCTCTACGGGACGATTTAGGTCCATTAGGACCGACCAGGGGCGAAGATATCAGCTGCAATCTCAGAGCCCCAAGATTGCAGCTGTATCGCAGCAACGTGGCTCCGCCTTCAATCCCAAAGGTGCTTTTTCAAGAGGCACCTGGACCTTCTTGTTTTCCTGTGGAGACATTTTGCTTCTCTGCCAAGAAGCTTCTTCAGCTCTGACTGGATTGTGGGGAGGATTTATACTCCTTGCAGACAGCTGGTCATTTGCATCTTTTTAGAGAGTTGTTGAAGCCACCATCTAGCCAAGCACTCCTTTGTTTTTCACTACCTAAGCCCTACTGTAAAACAACAATTTTTAATATTCTACAGAGACATAGTCAAACAATATGTTTAAAACACATTTAGACATTTTTTTTAAATCTATCCCCCCCACACCAAATAAACAAACTGGAGAAGAAAAGAACTCTACAAAGTCCTACTCCCTTTGCACCTCAATAACCAGAAGATTGAGTCCCCTTATTTAACAAATATATAAAACAGGATTCAAATGAAATAGCACTCATGTTTTTGTGACTTAGACCTATTCAAGAAAAGATTTCAAACAAAACTCAAAGGGTTTGGGATATCCTTCCTGTATATATAATCTCCTTCAGAATTCTGCACATGAAGCCAAAATTTAAGACTGGGTTGTTTTACTTACAATTGTTTTACTTACAAGTGAACTTTCAGATTGATATCTCCTAAAACCACTACTGAAGATCAGTTCACATAGGTACAGGATGATACCAGTTAATGCCATGATAGCACTTGTGATGTTCAGTCCTACGCTAGATTTCACCTGAAACAATACATCAGAAAGAGAGAAAATACAGTGTCATTATGTTACAGAATAGGTTTATGCAAAGATAAAAATTATTAGCCCCAACTATGGTAAAAACAGTGACAGAATTCAATCTATGTGTGTGCTTAATGACACAACCAATCAGTATTGAAACCAGACCACATCCACTAAGATCACAGAATCAAACAGCAATAACAAAGTTTTCCACAGTGGAAAGGCAAATGCCACAATTCATTTGAGGGCTTTTCTAACACTGTCAAATATCTTCTTTCTGTTTCTAGATGTCAACCTCCAATCAAAGGCCAGGTGGTTAACAGTGACAGGGAAATGGTGAGGATGGTTCGTCCTTAACATTTTGGTTAAAGAAATCCTGCACTGTTTAGAAGGAGTTGACTTCTTGGAGTTTTGATTCAAAACTACAGAATTGCTCAGGACTAGCACCAACTAGTAGCAACGAAGTTAGCTCTAGCAGAAGAAGCACCCACATGATGGTCACTGACTCTCTCAGGCTTCTCTCATTTTCGTTGTAGTACTGACAGGACATGGAGTGTTGCAGGTTGCACATCAGGAAGGTAATTTGGGAAGTAGCCCATAGCAAAGGGGGAACCAGGAGCGGCTCTAATCCTGTATGGTTCAACTTTCTCTACTGTTGGGGTAGAACTTTCAATAGAAACAAAGCTTGGAAGCAAATGTTGATCAAAGAAAGAAGTTGGTGGGGCTTTTGAGTTTGCTTTTTTCCTCAAATGTTGTTTTAAGACTGAATAGTTTCTGGAGATAACAGAGAATATAAAGAGTGCTAGCATGATTATGAAGAAACTGCATAAAAGAAATTCAAATGCCATACAGCTTTCTCACCAAAGCATATTTTGGACGGTTCGCAGCTGCTATACATACTGACCCAGAAGAAATGAACTATGGAAAAAGAAACAGAAAAATAGTTTAGTCCACTGGAAATATTAATGGAAAAAAGCATCAGAAAAATCTGGCACACATGAGAAGTCAGGAAGACTCCCAAGCAAACAGGACTTCTATATGTATGCCTTAACCATTAATACCATGGTGCATGACTGAAGAGGAATTTGCATATACTTACAAATATCCCTCCCCAAAAGGGGTAACCTCCAATTCCAGACAAGGTAAAATAGTAAGAAGAAAAGAGACAAAGTGAGACAGCCCCAAAGCCAATGTGGATCAGCCCAATCATGATCTGGATGGCCTAAGGAAGGAAAACACACAAAGTAAGACAACTTCATTGGCTGAATCTGAGAAAGAAAAACATTCTTATTTTTTAGAACCCTGAGAAAAGCATCACTTTCTATCCATCTTTGAAAAGTCCTTCAAAGGGATTTGGGCATCTAAGCTTGCAGTACAGGTGTTGACCCAAGGCCTAGAACAACTAGACACAAAAACAGTTTTTGCCTAAAAGCCATCACTCTGCTAAACAAATAATTCCCTCAACACTGTCCAACTATTTACAAAGTCTGCATAACTATTACTGTTAATCTTCTCATCACTCCTTATCATATATCCCCTCCCACTTGTGACTGTATGACTGTAACTTTGTTGCTTGTATCCTTATGATTTATATTGACTTTTTCCTAGTATGATTTGATTGCTTATTGCACGCTATGACTATCATTAAGTGTTTGTACCTTATGATTCTTACTCTTGACGAATGAATGTATCTTTTCTTTTATGCACACCGAGAACATTTGCACCAAGACAAATTCCTTGTGTGTCCAATAATAAAGAATTCTATTCTATTCTATTCTGGTTTCCTATGGTGAAAAATCCAAATGGGGAGAAGGGACAGTTTCACTACAGACTCCTCTGCAGGAGGAAGTTATCATGGTCATAAGCACAAAGTGACTTCAACCAGCTTAGGCCAATCCATGACCAGGTACTTCTGGAGAAATGCCCAACAGTTGCACTTCTCAGAGGGAAGGGAGAAAAAGAGACCTGGCTGGAACCATGGCTGAGCTCCACTTTGAAGGAACAAAGCAAAGCATATCCAAGTCAGAATGTTTTTCAGAAACACAAATGAAACTACCAGGAAGAACAGAGACAGCAGCCAAGCTAACTTCTGGGGCTCTCAGGTCTCTACATAGCTCTAAAACCTTAATGGATTTCAAACAGGAACATAGCAAAGCATGCATACCCCAAGCACTTTGGGCTCAGCCTTCAGGAATCCATCCAAAGGACTCTTTTGTGGGACTTGCTGAGGAGCACTGGTGGAAATACCAAGTTGATGAGCTCCATACTGAGGATATGGAGTTGCTCCAGATGCCTGAAGAGCAACACTGGGCAATCCAGGGGTCGTTTGGATTATGTTCGCTCCGTTAGAGGGGATGAAAACTGTGGTTCCAGTGGCCATTCTTGCTTGAAGGTTTGCCACAGGTACCTTACCTGCAAACAAACAAGTGAGGAAAAGTTAAGGTCTTAACATCAATTAGGCAAATTCTGGTCCTTCTCCATAATGTCACTTGGTGGGATAACATTTGCCTGCAGTAAAACTGAAGAAGATTGTCAGAAGGGTTCAGGGAACAGGTAATAAAAACATACAACTTTCTCAGGGATAGAAATCCTCCTTTTGCCCACCATTAAGCCAGAACCAAAGAAGCTTCTTACTTGAGAAGCAAAATGTTTTCAAGGGAAAAAAAGAACCCAAAATCCAGTTGCCTTTTGAAAAACATTTTTGGGACAGCCATGACCTGGAGGATTGAGAATCTTCATAGATATTAGGGAGAAAAAGTTAATCAGGACACAGAGAACATAACGTTTTTCAATGCAAAGATCTCTTTCTAATCTTAGCACCACCCTAGATTCACCCAGTTAAATGGCAGTTCCCATTTGGGCAAGGTTTTATTGTACTTGCCCTCCTGTCCTGCTACTGCCAGGTGGATCTAAAGGCACCAGGCATGCATTGATTGCCACCTTCCAGCAAGTTCATTCTGATTTGGACATAGGTTACTGGGAAGGACACAAGAGCAGGATCTGTATCCCACCTTTGCTTCATTGATGTGGTGAGGTTTCTTAGTAGGACACAATTGGGCTATCAAGACTGAGTTTTCTAACAAAACTCCAGACAATCCCAGAAAGTAGTGAAGAGATTCAGTAAAATCCCAACTGCCATCACATCTAATAGCTCTCTGGATGTTTAAAACTTTGACTTGGCCAATAGCCCGAATTAATCCCATGGTTAGAATTTGTACGGGCCTTAAGAGGAAGCTACTGCCTTTTTGAGCTGTATTAATTGGAAGTCAAAGTTAAGCCAAAACCGACCCATCCATCTTCCTTTGAACGGTGAACTTCCAATATTGAATCTTAGTAAGTTTACACGGCACGTTTGCGCGTTTTGGATGCTTTCATCAAGACAAGATTGACGGCAAACTCTTTCCTGTCCGCTAATTCTCCCCGAAATCTTCCCGCCTGGAAGACCTGCGATGGTTGAGAAGACCGCGGGTGGATGGCTGCAGGGGAGAACCGGCAGGCACGGGATGGTCCACATATTAATTCCATATTAATTTTTAAAAATTAACCAGAAACTGCTCACGACAAGCGCTGAAGACACGAAGTAAAGGGAAGCCTCAAGAAAAACGGAAGCAACATAACAGGAACAACAGGAGGGTGGGGTTCTGTTACAACTAAAAGGAGGGATTTACGCACTTTAATCAAGAAACATCTTGCTTGTCCCTTTAACTGTTGCAACAAATAACACTTTGGGGCCCGGAACCTTCTGCTTGTTCAGAGATAAGAGGAAAACTATTCCAAGTTTATAAAGTCCTGTGATTCCCAGGCTAAAACGAATCACTGAAATCAAATGCATCCTCGACGTCTCTTTCGTTTCTCTCCCGCTTTCAACCCCTCCGAGGCTTCCACAACCTTTGCAGGAATCTCCGGAAAGAAAAAGAAGGGGATCAGATTATGATCACTGCGATCACAGCCTCTCCCCCGCCCAGCTCCTTAAGTAGCCCTCGTCCAGCGGACGATGTTTTTTCCCCTCCTTTCCCTCCACCGGAGCTCTCTGTGGTTTTCGCGTTGTTCTTTTTCGCGCTTGAAGAGGCAAAGCCGCAGCTGCGTGAAGGAGAGGCTGGAGGGACTCGATCCCAGCCTCCGACTGCGCTCCTTGCGAAGCTCTCCCTGGGAACCTCAGAGGCCGCTGAAACATCTGGACTGTTTCGCTTCGCCTCTCTGTGCATTGGCAAAGTTACGATGGGTAAATCGATTATGTTTCCTTTTGCACTTATTTAAACCGAACATTTGCTCTCTCTATCGGAGAGACCCCCACCTTCTTTCACGGGAGCGCCCTCTGGCGTCCTGATTCTCCTACTGCTGTTTTGCATTGGCTGTTCTACGAATGTCTCTGGGGGTGTGGAGAGCCGGTCGCTTCAATGCTTTAATCGCGTTTTGGCAGGGGAGACGGCTTCTGCCCCCACTCCCCCTCCATGAGCTACGCTATTCCCAGATTTCATCTTTTTAAAAAGCAGTTTGCCGTTATCTCTTCTAGGTGCTAGTTTACTTATAGTATGATATTGGCTTTTCAATCTTTAATTCAGTTCCTAGCAGTTCATTTCAAGGGGAAATTAGTCAGTTGTTTCAATCAATAAGCAGCTGTGAGTGTAGCAGCTCCAGTTAGCTGACACACTATCATTCTGAATTTAAGAAAAGGCAAGAGGAAACCCAAAATAGTTTGAATGAAATAAAATTATAAACATGCAGCAAATATAAACATAATTACAAAATTATCTTACTCTATGATTACATAAAAGGTCACTTTTTTCCTATTACCTGTTTTTCTATTTTAAGGTGTTATCTCTCTCCCTATTCAAGCACATTTTACTCTCGGAAACTGAAATCCACTTTTAGACAACATAAAGGCACCCCAGAAATAATCTTGAATCTGTCTGCCTTTCTTAATTTAAATTCGGGAAAGCTGAGCTGAAAGAGAATAATAAGTCTGGCTCCAGGGGTTGATCTGTTGAAAAGGGGGTGGGACTCCAATAGGAGTAGGGACGGGAATAGGGACGCGAACAGAACACAAAATAGAACAGAACAAAATTCTTTATTGGCCAATTGTGGTTGGACACACAAGGATTTGTCTCTGGAACATAAGCTCTCAGTATTCAAAGAAGCAAGTGAGCAACCATGATAATAATCATGAAATACATTCATCATAAATCATAAGATACAACACTCAGTCATAGTCATAGGATACTAAATAAGCAATCAACATAAATCCTACTAGGATACTAAAGAAAACAATGTAATTAATTTAATACAACATACAATATATAAGATACAATATATCAGAGGAAATAATGGTAACAAATTGTGTGTGGCTACTGCTACAGTACTCTTCAGAAAGTGTGTGTGAGGCATGAGGCCAGAGCAGCCACTGCAAGGCAGCTGTATGCATGGATTGGATGGCCTGCTGCGACGCTTCGGTAAGTCTGTGAAAGGAGTGAGGTGCATGGGGGGGTGGGGGGCTTGCTTGGCCTCCTCCTATTTTTGTGGTGCAGTCAGCTGCAGAAGCAGCCAAACTTGTTGGAGCTGTGGCCAGAGAGGCCACCGCAAGGCAGATGTATGCATCAGTGGGATGGCTTGCTGCAACCCTTCGATAAGCTGGGTCAGGGCTTGCCCCTGCCTCATACCGGTACATGGGGAGAAAAATTAAGATGGCCCTGAAAATAAGGCCTAGTGCTTATTTTGGGGGTCAAAAGAAAATAAGACTGGGTCTTTCTGGGGAACATGGTATGTTGTCTAGTATTGTAAGAGATGGTAGAATAAGAGGACGTTTCCTAAAATCTACTATCATTTCTACAATTTTGAGTGTATTTCATTCAAGATTGTTCTGGCCAAACCACAGCGCTAATTGTTCAACTTCCCATCTGTATGCAGGTTCATGAAAGAAAGGACATAAGACTGACATCAGTTCAACTGAGCTAGATTATATTCAGGATACTGCCTATCAACTTAAAACTCAAAAACTGGGCAAATTTACGATTAGTACACCTGTAAAATCATTGCAGGAGTCAAACTTTTCCCCATGTAATTATGGACAAGGAAGCAACGAACCTTCTCTACACTCCAATTGAGTCTCTTGAGGCATATACAGTACCAGGGATGGGCAACTCTGGCACTTTTAGGAATTGTAGACTTCAACTCCAAGAATATCTGAATCAGCCATGCAGGCTCAGGAATTGGAAGTCCATAAGTTGCAAAGGGATCATAGTTGCCCACACCTTAAATATACCCTCCCTAAAAGTAAGAATGGCTTTGATTTTGAAATTGTATGTTTACACAACTGTAAACTCTTCAAGGATGGAGCTAATGAATGTGTTTACAGCTTCCCCTGTTGGAGATGGGATGATAATAAACAAAAAACAAAAAATGGCAGTTTTCATGGAATCTGTGGTTTCATCACCTTAAGTGCCCTAACAATATGAAAGACTCTAGTTATATGCAGACTTCTTCTGTTTTGGGATCACTGTGATTATGCAACCACTGTTACAGGTAGTTCTCAACTAACAACTGGTCATTTAGTAACCATTCAAAATTACAAAAAAAGTGACACATGACCAGTCCTCACAGGTAGCAGCCTCCTCGTGATCATGGGATTGCTTCTCCTGAAACCTGTTGCCAACAATTCTCATGTTTCCTTCTTGTTTTACTGAGATTTGGTAACCACGTTATCGTAAGTCGGTGGAGGAGGATTTGGTTCAGCTGCAACTTCTTCACCTCTGATGACTTGGTAAGGCACAAAAACCACGGTTGGCTGTAACAGAAAAGAATAGTCAAGACAAAAAATACTCAGGGATGCATCTGTTACTCTGGGTAGGAGGAATAGATTCTCCACTTGTGTGTTTTTAACTGCGATACTGGCAGTCTCACCAACAGGCTGAAATCCTGGATAACTCAAAGTCCTGAGAGAGAATTCTTTAAGATTATAAATTAATAGGCAAATGATGGGTATTTACTGTATTTTTTGAAGTATAAGATGCTCCAGAGTATAAGACACACCTAGCTTTTGGGGAGGAAATGAAGAAAAAAAATCTGCCTCTGCCTCCCAACATCCATTCAGTACTCATCTGGTCCATTCTCCCGGATCTGTTTGTCACTGCTGCCGCTGCCACCACTGCCCATTCACCACTGCCAGTTCACCGCAGCCCATTTGCTACCGCCTATTTATGGCCGCCTGTTCGCCGCCACTGCGGCCCATTTCCTGTGGCCCATTTGCCATCACCCGTTCATTGCTGCCGCCCATTTGGCGCCACCACCACAGCCCGTTCTAGAACAGCTGATCGGCACTGCACCAATCCCCTCCCCACCACCGCAATATTTGCTGTATAAGACGAACAGGTATTTCCATCCACTTTTGGGGAGGGAGGGGAAGTGCGTCTTATACTCCGAAAAATATGGTAAGTTATTTTTCCTAATCAAATCTGCCAGCTTTATCCACACATTCAGAGAATATTTGCTCAGGATCTCCCAACTTCCTACTGAGAAGTGTGACAGTGTGTCCCTCATCACACAGTGAGTGTTCTCTGTATGGAACAGATGACCTTCTGAAATAAAGATGGTACCAACTGGGATGGTCCTCTGGCAAGTGATAAGAGAATTGAACTGGCTTCTCCTGAGGACTTTTGGAGACTCATTATATTTTTTGCTTTACTTTTTTATTGGAGTTTTATATTGCTTATATTTTACGTTACTGTATTCGTATTGTTGTAAACCTTCTAGGGTCCAGCTTAATTGAGGACTGTATAAATATATAAATAAATAAATAATATTCTCATGATTTATTCACAAAAGCCATCAGATTAACAGCTAATCTTAACAATTTAAAGGCCCAAAGAAGGTGCATTTCACAGTTATAGGTGCTGATAAAGGAGAATATATGTAGCTGTGGGTTGAAATAAGGGGACCTTCGTTCTCTCTGAGCTTGGTTGTGCAGATGTTCTATTACCCAGATAATTAACCTGCACTGAGGATGTTACCTAGTTTGAGTAGTGAAACCTCTGCAAGAAAACACCCAAGCTAGAGAGCACCAAGGCCCCAAGACAGGTAACTCTGAATGCTGATTTAGCTGCTTATAATAGAGTTCTTCTGTTTTGTCAGGTCCAATCATATTTACCCCTTCAGTCATTGTTCTGTCCTGTTTTCTGCCTCTCATATTAATCTAAAGCATTTCTGAAAGGTTGAGAGCATGTTTGTTATTGGTACAAAAAGAAGCCAATTGTCGCTTCTGCAGAACAAGGACAAACATGGCCTTCTGTCCCACCACAAAACTTGCCAATGCAGAATGTAGGGACGTGGTTGGTAATTCAATTGTTTCCAACAGATTTTTTTTCAAAGGTCTTTGTAGTGCTGACAGAATCCCTTTATTATTACATCTATATTTGGAGATCTTAGTTATCACGTGGTAGTCATGTATTCAGCTGTTTGTCTGAGAATTTAAAATGTTATTTTTTTAAAAATGAAAAAGACCTTTTTAAAAAAAAAACGATGGCATTGAGAGAAAATGTGATCAAGTGACAGATACTTTAAATTACTGTAGTCAC